ATGTATGTATTGTGATTATGAGCCCCCCAATAAAATGATTTTTTTAAAAAGAAATTTCCAAGGTTCCATTCACAACCCTTTTTTGCTTAAAGTGTTAAGGATCTGAAGGATTTTCTGAAGATCAAGGATTGCAGCTTTTAGTGTGGATTACAACTCAATGTAAGAACCCAAATCCTCAGAAATAATCCAATAGGGAACGTGATCAATGGAGACTTCATCTTGACTGCATCTTTTCTTGCATTTGCTTTAGCTACTCTGTGACTAAAAGCACGGCTCAGGGATTCTTCTCTCATCCAGTTTTACTCTTTCTTGTTCTCCCACGTCATTGCATGTGTTTCCTGAGTCTGAAGAGGACTTTATAGATTGGTCCTGGACATATGGGCTAATATCAGACTTACTGACTTGATCTGGCCTGGCTGGGACATTTTCTCAATATTCAATTGTTCTGGTATACAGTGCTTTTTATTACACTCACATGACTGTGTCTATGAATTTGTTTCTCTAGTCTACCCACACCAACACAGAACCCAAGACACAAATTTTGCCACAACCCTTCTCATTCCTAAATCTAAAACATTAAAATTTGCTGAACTGAGATCCCAGATAGTCCAGATAACTTCCCCATCTCTTTAATGGTCCAGCATTGGTCTTCACGCACAAGGGCACACATTTTTGTGGACATTTTCATCCATTTTGGTAGTTGACAGCCAGCCAGAGGTTTGTCATCAATCCACATTTCACCTTTTTTGAAAAGAAAAAAATACTCATACACTTGAATTTTTCCCATACTACATTAAGCAGTTTTTGCAGCATTTTTCATGAGCAGGAAACAAAATTTCAGAGCTGCACGCTGTTCTCTTAAATTGACAATCACTAAAAATGAAGTGTGAGCAAAACTGCTTTTATGAAAAAAATTCAGTAACTAGAGAGAACCTTCCCAAGCAATGCCACTGGGTGCACTAACTCAGAGTGAGTTGCTCAATGCTCGCGTAGTGGGGAAAAGGCATACTAGGAAAGCTCCACCTAGCGGAGCTTTTGTACGTTTTGTGGTGGTACCTCCTCATAGGAGTAACTGATCTGTTCCGTAGTCAACCCCTAACTTGGTTTAGCTGCTGACACAGAGCTTCTCCATCACATCGTGCTTTCCCAGATATATCGAGTCAAAAAACATTTTAAGCAGCTAAAAAAAAAACAAAAAAAACATTTTAAGTGTATTTTATCTAGGCAAATCCCCCTGTGCTATTGAAGAAAGGTGTCTGCTATGAGCATGTCATTGATGTTGCAAAATTCTATCCTGTGATCTCCGTCTTTTTCTGTCACCAAGTCCAGATTTTCCAACTTCTGCCCCTTCTGCCTTCTTTTTTTTTTTTTTTAATCATTTTATTGGGGCTCATACAACTCTTATCACAATTCGTACATACATCAAATGCACATTTGTACATTCATTGCCCTCATCATTCTCAAAACATTTGCTCTCCACTTAAGCCCCTGACATCATCTCCTCATTTTTCCACCTCCCTCCCCACTACCCCCTCCTTCATGAACCCTTGATAATTTATAAACTATTGTCATATCTTGCACTGTCCGACGTCTCCCTTCACCCACTTTTCTGTTTTCCATCACCCAGGGAGGAGGTTATATATAGAGCCCTGTAATTGGTTCCCACTTTCCATCCCACCCTGCCTCCAGTCCCTTCTGCTTTCTTTCAAACTCTTTTATTCAAGTCCACAATAATTATTAATTCATCTTGATTACATGTTTTATTGATTTCTGACTGAAGATGTCTATCGGATTCTTCAACTCCTGCTTTACTTGTTCTAGTGGTTGTTAAATAAATTTGAATAATAGTTGTAATTATTGGATTGCTTTGCAGTGGATTGATACAGTGCTATCAGGACAAGCACTGTCTTTTTTAAAAATTATTTTATTGGTGGCTTGTACAATTCTTATCACAATCCATCCATCCATCCATGTGTCAAGCACTTAGTACATTCGCTGCCCTCATCATTCTCAAAACATTTGCCTTCTACTCTAGCCCCTAATATCAGCTGCCCATTTTCCCCCTCCCTCCCCACTCCCCGCCCCTCATGAACTCTCCACAATTCACAAATCATTATTGTTTTGTCATAAGTTACACTGTCCGACGTCTCCCCCTGCCCTCTTCTCTAAGCACTGTCTTTCATGATACATGTTGAAATGTCCCTTTTGACAGTGAATGCCATGTCTTTCGTCTACGTGGTTTTGTTATTCCCAGCTTAGTAAATTATATTCTCTTGTGATTTTAAAAAGCCAAATACCAGTACATTGTGCTCACTAACGCTTATTATATTGATGTGCATGCATTCCATTTTATTTCAATAAATTATTTTATTGGGGGCTCTTAGGGCACTAATCACAATCCATATGTCCATCTCCTGTGTCAAGCACATTTTTACATATGTTGCCATCATCATTTTCAAAACATCTTTCTATTTGAGCCCTTGATATCAGCTCTTCCTTTTTCGTCCCCCCCCCTTCATGAACCCTTTGATAATTTATTAAAATTTTTTCCTTCCCTGTCTTGCACCAACTGCTGTCTCCCTTTACCCACTGTTCTGTCGTCTGTCCCCCTAAGAAGGAGTTATTGTACATCTTTGTGATCGGTTGTGGTTGCTGCTTTCTACCCCCCTTTCCCTTACCCTCTGGGTATCTCAATTCTCATTATTGATCCTGAGGGGGTTATGTGTCCTGGATTCCCTGCGTTGGGAGCTCTTATCTGTAGCAGTGTACACCCTCTAGTCTAGCCAGATTTGTAAGGTAGAATTGGGATCATGGTAGTGAGGGGGTGGGGGAGAGCATTAAAGAACTAGCGGGAAGTTGTATGTTTCATCGGTGCTATCCTGCACCCTGCCTAGCCGGTGTCCATTTTATGTTTGATGGCTCCCAGTTTTTCTAGATTCACACTTAGCACATTCTAAGTTCTTATTATTTGCTGAGTTTTATAGCTCTTTCCTCTTCCATTGAGTCATGCCCATTAGCAAATGAAGATCCTAAAAGTTCCAGTCGTTTAGGCTTCCCTCCATTCACATCACAAGGGCAGACTCTCCTCTGAAAAAGCAGCTCCTCCCCTGGCACTGTCTCCCCCAGCTATCTGCTTCCGTTCATTAGTCCTCCAGTACCTGACAGTGTTTCGCAGGTGTGCAAAGGGCTTTCAGCGGCTACTTCCTTCTAAGTGATCAGGCGATTTCTTTGTCATTGTCTGTTCTTAGTCTGGAAGTTCCTATGAAACCTGTTCACTTGAAGTGGCCCTGCCGGCATTGCAATACCAGTGACAAAGCTTGCACATCACAGCCACACAGAAGCCACCACTGTAGGACAGAGTCACAGATAAGTGGTAGCAGGAAGTTATTAGCGAGTGTTCACAGTGATCATTAGGCAATGATACCTACGTTTCTCCAAGTATGTGTTACCAACAACCCCTGAAGCCTCATGCATCCTTGCTAATCTACATTGAGCCATGCTTCAGTGTTTAGCCTCAACATATCACCTCCTCTGAGGTCTGTAAACGGGAAGTACTTATTGCTTAACGCTTTCTCTTAAAGCCTCTCTTAACGCCTCTCTGAGGTCCAGCATCCCAACTGATTGAGCATAAGACGGGTGTTCTGTGTTGGGTGGGGGGGCAGTCACCCTTTGGATGTTTAACAAACTAAATCTTAAATTATTTCATATTTCCAATGTTTGGATTAATAGCAGGTTAACTCTTTAACCCCCTCTTTCACTAACACATCTGTGTTCTAGAGAATGGTCATCCCTCTTCTACCATTCCATGTGGATTGTGTCCAGTACCTTTCTTTGTAGCCCTTCTTATGAGCTCTGTTTGTGTGTCAGCCATCTCAATCTTCATGGGATATTTCCCAATCAATTTCACTTTGATCCCTGCCAAAGCATTTTAACCATAAAATGGTTTTTCTATTTTTTTCCCCCTCACAGCTCCTCTTTCCCTCTGAATAATGCCTTTCCTTTTTGTTTTTATTTTGTCAACCACAACTTGTGTCATTGGGTCAGTTGCACAAGACCTTGATAATGGAGAAAAGATGTCCACTGAAAATACAGTAGTACAATTCCTGAAAAGTGGCTCCTGGTCCTCCTTGGTAGGAGAAACATGTGAAATTCATGTCAGTAAAGATCCGGGTAACAAGCAGAACACTTGTGAGAGGTGAGTATCAGTCACTCTACATAGCAGTGCTTCAAAGGGAATCTGCAGGCAGAGTGATGGCATTAAAATACTTCTGTCCTGTTGGTCTTCCACTAGTGGGAAAATGGAATGAAAAGATAATAATGTTATCCGTGAGCTTTGGGAAACCTTTTGGTTATATGAGTATAAGTACATGTATGTGCATGTGTATCTATATACTCATATATATATAGATAGATATAGATAGTAGCAATCAGAGTGCGGACTGTTGAGTGTTATGATGCACGGCAGTGCCACTCAGTGTGTTGAAGCCACCAACCTTTCACATTTGGGTGAGCACCAACCCTGTGTGCCATCCAGCTTCATTTGTGTAGTGAGCTCAGGTGGCACAGTGGTTTCAAGTTCAACTACAAATCTCAAAGTCCGCCTATTGAATCTCCCGTCTACCCCTGAGGAAATAATGAGACTTTCTACCCCCGTAAACAGTTACAGTTTTGGAAACACTTTGACAGTTCTACCCTATCCCATAGGTTGTCTGTGAGTTAACATAGACTCACGTGACTTACTTTGTATGTATAAGTGTGAATATATTTAAAAGTGTGTGTCTATATATGGTACCTCTAATATGTGCTTCAAAAATCTCACACTATAATTCTTATCTAAATGGGAAACATTAAATAGTTAAAACATAGTTCACTGATATGCAATTAGAAACCCCACATGATAGAAACAGAGTAAAATAAATAGGACTTTCTCTGTGAGATGATTTAATCTTTGAGCGCTGAAACAATTCAACATGAAAATACACATGTATTGAGGTGGTCGTGGTGCAATTGTAATCCACATGTATCTCGCTGCTGTTTTTAACAGAAGACATATTGAACAGAATGTCCGTGCAATTAAGAAGGAGAATCAGTGTGGAGAGACCTGCAGCTGGATTCCAGATCTTCACATGCTCCAAAGAACTTTTAATGAACCGTGTCCTTCGGTGTCCCTCCTCTGTGGGTCGTCCTCCATGACACCACCATCACTACTTAGGCGTCAGGCGAGCTTTCACTCTGAATGTGACTCCTCTCCGGGCGGAGAACACGGAGAGGACTGCACTTGTCCCCCTCACTCCCGCGGTCCTGTGCGAACGCTGCCTGCAGTGAAGCCTAAGGAATGTAAGGACTATGGAAACACCTGTGGCAAATCCTCGGGGGTCCCTGGACCTTTAAGACGGCACCGAGAAAAGAGGCCTTTCGATTGTAAGGAATGTGGCAAAGTGTTTCGTCTTGTTTCCCGCTTGCGCAGGCACATGAGAAATCACAGTGGAGAGAAGCCTTATGAATGTCAGGTCTGTGGGAAAACATTTAGTTTTTCTTCATACCTCAATAGCCATAAAAAGATTCACAGCGGAGTGAGGCCTTACGAATGTAAGGTCTGTGGGAAAAGATTTATTTCATCCTCCCACCTCCGTAGACACAGAAGAGTTCACAGTGGAGTGAGGCCTTATGAATGTAAGGTCTGTGGGAAAACTTTTAGTTGGTCGTCATGCCTCAAAACACATGAAAGAATCCACAGTGGAGAGAGTCCTTATGAATGTAAGGTCTGTGGGAAAAGATTTATTTGGTTCTCATCCCTCAAAAAACACAAAAGTATTCACAGTGGAGAGCTTTTTGAATGTAAGGTATGTGGGAAAGAATTTATTCAGTCTGCCCACCTCCTTAGACATGTAAGGGTTCACACTGGAGAGAAGCCTTATGAATGTAAGGTGTGTAGGAAAAGATTCATTTGGTTCTCCTCCCTCAAAAAACACAAGAGACTTCACAGTGGAGAGAAGCTTTTTGAATGTAAGGTATGTGGGAAAGCATTTATTCAATCCTCCCACCTCCTTAGACATACAAGTGTTCACAATGAGGAGAAGCCCTATGAATGTAAGGTATGTGGGAAAGCATTTAATCATTCCTCCTACCTCATTACACATATAAGGGTTCACACTGGAGAGAAGCCTTATGAATGTAAGGTATGTGGGAAAGCATTTATTCGATCCTCCCACCTCCTTAGACATGTAAGGGTTCATACTGGAGAGAAGCCCTATGAATGTAAGGTATGTGGGAAAACATTTAATCAGTCTTCGCATCTTCTTATACATACAAGGGTTCACACTGGAGAGAAGCCTTATGAATGTAAGGTATGTGGGAAAGCATTTGTTCGATCCTCTGGCCTCTTTACACATGCAAGGGTTCACACTGGAGAGAAGCCCTATAAATGTAAGGTATGTGGGAAAGCATTTAATCAATCCTCCCACCTCAGTAAACATTTAAGGATACATAATGGATAGAAGACATTTGAATGTAAGAAATATTTCAAAACCTTTAGTCATGCCTCAACCCTTATTCAAAATAGAACTCAATAAAGAGGCCTTATGAATGTAGGGAGTGTGGCAAAGGTTTTAATTACTACTCATCCTCACCAACATAAGATAATTCACTGTGGCAAGAAGCCTGTTGAATGTCAGGAATGTGGCAAAGCCTTTGCTTCTTCCTCACATAGCATTTCTCACAGTGGAGAGAGGCCTTATGAATGTAAGCTATGTGGGAAACCATTTACTCGGTCCCTGGGGGGAACCAGCCTCCTTACAACCAAATGGGTCCGAGGCACAGTTGTGCAATTGAGGGGTAAATTAAAGGGATAGCAGACCAGATAAAGCATGCAAATGCTCACCTTCTCTGTCATGACTTCCTGAGCCGTGTCCCAGAAGAAAGAGCATCATGTAATCTTATGACCTTATATAATCTCAGGCACACAGATCACAGTAAGGACCTACGTTAACAGAAAGGGGTTGTAAAGTATGCATATGCATAACAGAAGAGGGAAGAGTCGGGTGTATATCCAATATGAAGGGGAGGCACTAGAGGTATACATGTGACAGGAAGCCACACAAGTAACAAGATGGGTGGGCTCCACAGTCCAGACGGCAGCCTAACCTTGGTCGTCCCTGAGTTGGCTTGACCTGAGGTGTCTTTGAGCTCTCCTTCAGGGGAACAATCCGATATCCTTTATCCTGAAGGGAGTGGGCCCTACTTAGGGTGGGACAGACAATAGGGTGTGATTGCCTTAGATGGCTGACAACCATCCGGCAGATAAGCTTCAACCAGTTGACAGTGTTTGCAAACCGCACCTTAGGTTTGGCATTATTATGGGGGGACATTGTGGGGAATAACTTTCACTTTGGAGAATGTAAGTAGGACACATCTTCAGCTCACAAACAGGAAGGTTTCCTCCATGCTAGCCTCAGCCTCCCAAGCTCCGTAACATATGAATGTTGAAAGTTTGTCTACATACACTCTCTTCCCGGTTCTGTTTCCCACAAGTCGCCACAGCTTACTGTACATAGTGGAAGAAGTCACAGTGGAGAGGCATTATGAATGTAGGAAATGTTGCAAAACCTTTTGTCTATTCAGATCTCACTGCACATAGGAAAATTCACGCTATACAGAGGCTTTCTGAATATAAGGAATGTGGCAAAGCTTTTCATTCATCCTCAAACTTCAATAAACATTCACAGTGGAGAAAGGAGGTGACAGAGTATAAGGAATGTGACACAGTCTTTCAGTATCTCAGTGAGTAACGAAAACAGAAATAGGTGTGATTAGAGTTGCTTGTGCCTTTGGGAGGAGTGAGAGCACATGGTCACTGTGCAGCAGTTTTGTTAGCCTTCAATTCTCCAGTCCTGTGAACAGCCCTGTAGATGGTTGCTTTCTTAGTCCGTGATGTAATTTACCTTCATGCAGTCTTGGCTGTATCTGGCTCCTGTGAAGACTGCAGAGCAAGTGTGATTTCATATTACAATTGGTGTTCATTCCCATGCAATAAAATGCACTGAATTTGTATTTGGATGTTGGTGTTTTATTTGTTTTACTTTGTTTTCTTCAGTTATAAACTTTGTTCTTGTGTTTTATCTTATTTTTGTCCACCTCCTGTACATCCATTGATACATATTACCTGAAATTATTATTCATGTGGTTTGAGCACTCTGTAGACCATCTATTTAAATCCATAACTATGTCTTACAGCTCTCTTGCTTTCATGCTTCCAAAGTGCATAAACTAACGTAGGTGGAAACATGAGTTCCCTAATGACTCACAGCCATTTTCAGATGGGAAACAAGTACACTTGTCACTGTTCAACCCAGTGCCAAAAAATGGTGATTTCACCTTTTCTAGCATTTGCTCTGTAACTGTTGGTTGGGATTCCACTGTAGAGAATAGCTTTCCCTTTGTAATCACTTCACGTTTCAAAAGGTCCTGTTTGCCTCCAGCAGGTTCTCATTGTACCCCAACTATGTAGGCATCTATGACACTGGTGGTGCAGTGGTAAAGCACTTCGCCAGTTACTGGAAGTGAGTGGTTGGGCCCCCCAAGCCAGCTCAGTAGGAAAAAGATGCAGCAGGGCGCTTTCATAGAGATCACAGCCTTGGGAACCCTACAGAGCAGTTCTGCTCAGTCCTCTCAGGTTGCTGTAAGTGAAAACGCACACTGCAGTAATGGATTTCCTTCTCAGGGTTTCGTCTCTGTGAAGAATCAAATGGTTGTCACTTTGTTGTGCTTTGGGAGCTTGCATGTTGCTGTGGAACTGGAAGCTGTGCCAGGGTGTTTGCATCACCTTCAGGGTCACCCTGATGAGCAGGTTCAGTGAAGTTTCCAGGCTCCAAAGGCTAGGAGGAAAGGCCTGGTGATCTTCTGAAAGTAACTAGTGGAGGCTCTATAGATGCTAACATAATATTGAGCAGGTACATTGTCATGGTGGCAAAACCAGTCTCCGTCTGCCACAAATCAGGCCTTTTTGTCGCACAATGTTAGGCAATCGTTTCAGAACCTCTAAATAGAAAGTTTGATTAACAGTCTGACCCGGTGAAACTAACTCCAAATGCACTATGCCCCTCACATGTTTCTGATTTTTTAGGGGGTTCCACCTCGTGTGTGTGTGTATTAAGTATATTCCTTAGGTCCGCTACTTTGAAGTAAAAAAAAATCCTGTACTTTCTTTGTCCTGGGTCGAGAGTTTTCCAGAAGCTAACCTTCTCTCCATCCAGTTGTGAATAAAGGTTTTGATCATTAATAAAGTGGTGTGGTTGATCTAGCCTGGCACAATTGGAGGCCCCAGCAAGATCCCATTTACCCCAGGCTTTGCCTGACCCAGAGGGCTTTCCTAGTGAGGATGCACCTTGATGATCCAGGTCCCCGAGCAACCCTCATGTCTCTGAAGAACGTGAAAGGACCAGCACTGGGTCTTTCTCACCAGCCGCCCCTGACTGTGTGCTCTCCGGTTAGTCTGTTTTGTGCTCACCTTGTGTCTGAGGAATATACTTAGGAAGAGAATTTCCTCATGACAAGTGTTCATATGCACAGGATGCCAAGTGGACCTTGTCCTGGTCTGGTAACTGTCAGTTTCAACTTCTTCTTCAGAGGGAATTAACTGTTTAAACTCTGAATCATTGTGTAAGCGTGTTAAGTGTAACCGGTTACAGCCTTCTGTCCACGTCCATGGGGCTCCATGGGCTTCAGCTTCAAGTTGTCTGATCAAAGCTCTAACCTGCTGCGGGATTGGCAAACACCTGAGTTGTTTCACTTTTGTAAGCTCTCTACCCTTTGTGTGTCAGGGCTGGACTGGGAGAGGGAAAGTAAGCTTAACTAAGGACTCTTTGGAGTTTCTGCTTTCTCCTTGACCTTGCTGTGAGCAGTCCTGGTGTACTCGGTTTGGATTTTGGACTAACGGTCACCACCCCTGAGGAGTGGACTCCTCTCCAACAAGTCTCTCTTGAGCTATTTTAGATCTTTTGGGTCACTCTTTTGACTTCCTGTAAAGTGCTATCAGCAGCCTGCAGGGAGCGCAATTGTGCCCCTTTCCCCCAAGGTTTCTCTGTGGCTCAGCTTAACTTGAGATGACTAAGAAGCCCACTAACCCCACTGAAGAGCGGAGAAGTTTCATGAAGCTGGCTGCAGCCGGCAAGGCTCCAGCATCAGCCAGGTGAAATGTCTTATGTACTTATGCCTATCTCTCTGGTCTGATTGGAATCTTTCCTGTACTGTCTGTTACAGGATTTAAAGTGGTACCCATGTACATGATTTTGTTGGGGCAACAATTTCTTTTCTTTCTTGTGGGACCTTCTCTTGCAAGAAACCTTCCTTAAATTCATGCCGGACAAATCTGATTTTCATTTCCTGTGCCTTTTTGTCTGCTTACATTACGGGAAGCTCCCTTTCTGCGTTATACACTCCCCCAGAATGACTGATTAAAAATTTCTCACAAGCCTACCCTCCTGACGAAGGAGTAAAGTTCTCCAGTGGCCCCACTGCACTGTGGGGCAAAGTAGCCAGCATTCCATGTTGGCTGCCTGCCCCAAAGTTTTAACCCTTGTACTGTTGCTTGCATTTAAGCCATTGTCACAAGTCACCCCAATTGTCCCTTACCTTAATCGATAACTTGCTCTTGCTGAGTCACCCCCTCCCTGGTTAAAACCTGTTTTGCACCCCCTGCTGGAATGCAAGTTCCTTTGTCCGGATTAGCTGGAAAATTACTCAAACTAAGCGCCAGTTCCTGTTTGTGTTCCCGTCTCGGTCTTGGGTCTGTATAACTAAACAGCCCCAACCCCCCTTTTTCTGAGAACTCCCAGGACTTAACCTCCCTCTCTTAAGTCTGTTTTCCTATACGCCCCGCCTCCAAGGGCAGAGAGCCCTGAAAATTTATCGCTGGTCTTTTCTCATCAGCATAAAAGGCCACCAAAGACAGCACTTTCACTCCTTTAGATCCCTCAGTCCCTGATAATGCCTGTGCAGTTACTCTAGCTTTTGTGCTGCCGTCTGCACCTGACATCCAAAGAAAACTTCAAAAACTAAAGGGCTTTAAAAGCAGTAAGTTTATAACAGATACTCAGACCAATGGACTAGAACTGGAAACCCAGACATAAAATCAGCAGCATACAGCCAACTGATCTTTGATAAGAGCCCAAAAAATATCCAGTGGGAAGTGGATGCCTTGTTCAACAAATGGTGCTGGAAAAAATGGACATGTATCTGCAGAAAAATGAAGCAAGACCCTTACCGCACACCACACCCAAGAATAAGCTCAAGGTGCATCATAGAACTTGAGGTGAAACCCCAAACCATTAGGGCCATCAATGGGGGAATTGGGACAAACGAGAAACTTAACACGTGGAATACATAGGCTATCAGAAATAGGGAAGGACACAAACAAATACAGAGGAGTTACAAACTGACAAGTGGGATATACTGAAGATAAAACACCTGTGCACATTGAAATAATTCACCAAGAGATTAATGAGAGTCCACAGACTGAGGAAACATCTTTAGCAATGACATATCAGACAAAGGCCTTATTATTAAAATTTATAATACTATGCTAGCTTACAATAAGAAAAAAACTAATTGCTCCCCAGGGAGGTGGGCAAAGGACCTGAACAGAAATTTCATAAGGGCAGAAATCTGAATGACCAATAAACATATGAGAAAATGTTCCCGATCATTAGCCAGAAGAGAAGTGAAAAGTATAACTATGAGATACCACCTAACACCCTCAAACATATCCCAATTTAAAAATCAGAGTAACAAGTGTTGGAGGGCCTGTGGTGAGATAGGACCTCTTGTCCACTGCTGGTGAACCTGTAGGTATGTAAAGCCATTATAGAAATTGCTTTGGTGATATGTAAAACAGATGGAAATCAAGCTACCAAAAGACTCAGCACTCCCCCTACTGGTCATATACCCAGAAGAGGCAAGAAACAAACCACGGCCAGACATCTGTGTTCCATTGTTCATTGTAACACAGTTAACAATTGCAAGGAGTTGGAAACAACTCAAATTTCCATCAACGGACATACTCAAAGGTTCAAGTAGAAAGAGTTTTGAAAATGATGATGGTAACACATGTACAAATGTGCTTGAGACAATGGGTG